ACGAACCTATATTCGACCCGTGGCAAGGCTTGTCAGCCTACCTGCCCTGCCTAATGATGATTAATCACCTCTTTTTATTCAGTCTTTTCTTGATATTCGTATTCACAGGTGAATACGGGGGCGACTGTGGAAAAGACTGTATAACAAACTGCCATGCTGAGCCTTTAAGGGGCGGGGCTTAGAGCAGCTGCAGCATGCAGACGAAGAAAGAGAGAAAAAAAAGGGTAGAGTGTAAAGGAGTATAGTTTATGTTCGCATTTGTTTATTTAACTTGCCGTTTGCCGTTTATTGTTACCTTCCTTGATGTGTGTGCGTGGAAATACAAGTAAGTGATGGTAAATATTAATAATATTGTTTATTTAGCAGAGTATTTTAGTTTTACCCCTAATTAAGAGCATGCTCTGTTCACGTGCACACTTAAGAGTCATACACGGTGGATATTGCGTCGTGTATATGTAGAAATGTGATGTTTATAATCATTGATAGTGCAGTTATGCAATATGTCTGATGTTACTTCAGTCAGTTTATTCAGACACTGACTCTGTACTGTTGTTTATTTTCTAGAACCACACACGATTACCTAAATAAACGGCAAGTACGAGTTGAATCACCTGGCGTACGACTCTGCGTTCTTTGGAGTTCTGACCGACTCACCACAGTGTTCTGAATATTCACACCAGTAAATGCAACCTCTAATTTTCAATGGTCCTTCGAGCCGGATAGCAGACTACTGTTTGAAGATGCAGAATTCAGAGTCAAAGGCATTGGACACTCGACCCAAACGAAGAATGTCAGTTCCTTCCTACCTATCAGATTATGACCTAAGTGGACCTGGAGCTCAGAGTAGATCCCGGACAGCAGCTGCAGGGGAATCGTTAGAGGAGCAAAGTGGACTAGTACGTCCGACTGCCAGATCTCCATCACCACCCATTAGCCAGAGCTTCGACATGATGGATTTGAGGGATGATATGGAGCAAGAACGAGAGCTTTGTCAATCAATGGAGCAAGTAACCAGGGAGCAGCAAACCAGCCAAGTTCCAGAGTTTAGTGTTGCTCTCGAAGAGATGCGCCAAGAAAACGCTGAGCTTCGTAAACAGTTTCAGAGCCTGATGGTTGCTTTACAGTCCCAGCCAGCAGCCCATCAGCCTCTGTTCCCACCTCCTCCACCTCAAAGTGTGTACAGCGGTGGTTATGGACCTCACCAACCCCCTACCAATTCCCCAGCATACCAGCAGCTACAATATCCAACATTCAGCTCCCGAAGAAACCTGCGATTAGATTTCACTAATCCTAGAGTTTCCCAAACATCTGGTGGTCTGCATCAGAGCCTGTATTACGCAGACACACCACAGCAGAGCGCACCTTCCTATTCACATAGAGATTCTTCATTTGTCCAAGTTCCCAGCTTTAATGAGCCACAGAGAGAGACCACATATAGGGGGCCGAAGCCCACTATCCCCAGATTTACATCACCCGATCCCAGAGAGTTTGCACGCATGAAGATTGCCTTAGAGAATCTATTACCAGGCGATGCTACGGAAAGATACAAGTACCAGATCCTCACTGATCATCTCCAGTGCGAAGAAGCTTCACTTGTAGCAGACTCCTACTGCAACTCAAGGCAACCTTACACTGATACAATGTTGGCTCTCTCTGTGGCTCATTAAAGCTGGGAACTTGGACAAATGAAGAATCTCTATGTGAATAGGAA